TAGCGCGCCCTTGCATATTTGACACCACCCCCAGGCGGAGGGATGACGCGTCACTTACGGGTGACGACCTAGCATTAGCGATTTTCATATTTCGAATCAGTAATAAGTGATTTTTTAATTATATGGAAGACCTTATTATGAGTAAAATAGGAAACCATACTTTTATCTCGCAAAGAAAAGATATCCTGAGCAAAGAAATGAGTTGTCCAGTTAGCTTCCCGAAAAGTGTGTGTAATAGCAATCCCAGCTTGCGTACAAACCGACAGCATATCTTCCATAACATCTCTCCATCTTCCATCATATGAAGCATCCCTGAACAAAGAAATCAATCTTGAGGAATCTGACTCTATCTCAAAATTTGTGTATCCACATTCCATCATTTGGCCGCTTGGATTTCTACTTCCAAAGCTAAATCGAAATCTAGGAGGAAGCTCAGACCAAATATCAGATCTCCTTCCTTGTTCCTCATCACCGCTCCTCCAGAAGACTTTTCGGGTAAAAACGATGCATCAACGTTCATCTTGAGATGCGTCTTAGGTCTCCGCCTTTTAGGCTATGTTTGGCACAACGAGCTGGAACTGGAGGCTAAAGTCTGAATTAGGGGTTATGGTCTGAACCAGACACTATTGTCTGAAGCTGAACTTTGAAGTGATGAATCTGAATCACTAGCTGAATGGAGTAGGCCCGCTTGACAAAAAGAGCTGAAAAGTGTTGGATAATATGAAATCACATTAAAGGCATATGATTTACTAGTATAATAGAATAATTTTTTTATAATGCTTTTATATTTTTAGCCTTTTAATATGCGTGTGTGTATAATATTTGTGAATTTACATGTATATATAATAATTGAATTGACCATGCATTTTCTGCAATTCACTTTACTTCGCACCCATATCTTCACGTTGAGGACTCTGTTCATAGCCAAGCATCTACCTGGTAATTATTTTTTGATTTTTTCGCACATGCACATCAGGTCGAAGAAAAAGCAGAGAGAGCAGACAATGGGAGTTGATAAGTAGGAGATCGATTGGGAGAAAAAATGAGTTTTATGAGCAGATGATAGGTCCGAAGTAAAAAAAACACCTTTGAAGCTCTGCTATTGCGATCGATTGAGAAGAAATCCTTCTATGGAGATTGACGGAAGATGAAAGAGGGATATGATGGGAATTAGAAGTCTGGAAACCAAGGATGGAATATAAACGCTACATGGCTTAACGTTTGAGTTCAGCTCAATTGTTTTAGTTCCAGCCTCCTTAAGTCTTTCAAACAAATAGGGCTACGCTAATATAAATTGACTGAACTTAATAAATTCCAGCTCTTTTTTAGCTGAAGTGGCGTGCCAAACACAACCTTAATGATTTTAACTTTTTTCTTCCCCTTCTTGAATGTTGCTGGAATCAATTGTTGATCAATCAACACATCTAAACCTGAATTGGATTTCCATTTTTTCAAACTGTAGATCCAGTTCTGTGTAAATAATTTGATTTGAATATTATGGAATCAATAGATGAAGTAGATTCCATACTTCCCCAAGTCAACTTAGCATATATCTTCCAAATGTGCCAGGATATAATTACTGGCATATTACCTCTGAATATCCCCAATAGTAGCTTACCACCATGAAATAAGCATCTGCCGAAGGGTGTTTTATTCTCTAAAAGTAGGAATTTCGAAAATTCCCATAAAATATGCCCACACAGGTTTGATCATAGGGAAGAAATAAAATATGTGCTCAATAGATTCACTGTTCTTTCTGCACAAGGGGCACATATCAAGAAAAATTTTAGCCTTAAATCCGATAAGATTTTCTGATATTAGAACCATGTTATTAAGAAGTTTCCACTGAAACAGTCTGATTTGTAGAGGTTGATTGTTATTCCAAATACATTGTGATGATAGATTGGGAAGCTTACTCCATCTAACCTCATGATAAGCAGACGACGATAAAGTGAGGTGACCCTCCTTTTCCAGCTAAACATTCCCCTCTGTTATTGATATGACATAATCTCCTCCAAATGGCTGAATCTGAAACTTTAGGAATCATGTTACCATTTCTAGGGTAATTTGAATTGCAAAATCTAGCCCAAAGAGAAGAATTTTGTTTCCATTTCCACCAAAGTTTTAAAGAAAAGGCTTTTTCAATGTCTGATAGAAGTCTAATGCCAACCCCACCTTCCTCTACAGAAAGACAAATATTCTTCCATTTCATCCAATAATATTGACCTTTATTATTTTTAGAACCCCAAAAGAAATGGGCCATTTTCCTCTCATGAATATGAGTTACTGTTCTAGGAAGAGTATCAACAGCCATAAGATGTGAGGAAATTTTGTTTAGGACATGCTTAATGAGAATAAGTCTCCCCCCTTGACCAAGATTTTTTTTGCTTCCAAGAGGACAATTCTTTATCAAATTTCTTAATGATGTCATCACAAAATTTGATCCTATTTATACCTTTGTGCACGTAAGCGCCCAGGTATTTCAGAGGTAATTTGGAATGGTTCATCCCCAACAATTCCTCCATATGCTTGATTCTTGCAGAATGGGTATTTCTAGTAACAAAGGTACTTTTAGTGAGGTTAACAGTCTGTCCAGTAGCTTTTGGGTAATTCTTCAAAAAATTGTTAAATGCCAAGATGGATCTAGAATCACCATTAGTAAAAACTAAAAGGTCATCGGCAAAACTCAAATGAGAGATTGGATAGCCATTTTTGCCCACCCATTATGCTTTAATAGCTCCAGAATCCATAACAGCTTTGAGCCCCCTGGAAAATGCCTCTGTAGCGAGAATAAATAGAAAGGGGGATAATGGATCCCCCTGTTTCACCCCTCTCATTGGCTTAAAGAAACCATGTGTCTTCCCATTAACCAAAATTGAAAGAGTTGTGCTCTTAAGAAAATTCATCACAAGAAGCCTGAAATGATCACCGAACTCAAACTTTTCTAAAATATCCTCTAAAAAGGTCCAAGAAACCTTGTCAAACGCTTTTGCCATATCCAGCTTTATAACAACATTCCCTCCTCAGATTTTCTTATCAATTGAGTGAATTATTTCTTGGGCAATCAAAATATAGAAATCACTCTGTTCTTCATAAACCTTGCATGTTCAATAGATATGACTTTAGGAAGAATAATTCTAAGCCTTCAAGCCAGAACCTTTGTACACACCTTGCTAACAAAGGTAGATAAACAAATAGGCCTAAAATCTGAAAATGATTTAGGTCCATCTATTTTAGGAATAAGGACAATAAGAGAGCTTACCATTGTGATGGTCCCGGATAGGGTAAAAGTCTAGAGGGGGGGGTGAATAGACTTTTAAATCTTTTCGACCTTTACAAAGATTTTCCTCTAGAGGAGTTGATCTATAATCTTTTGAGAGATTAATAGATGCACAGCGGAAGTCTTTACCCTTTATATAATGAATGTCTTAATCACTTTCTGATCTGGAGAAGATTGGACTTAGATGGCTAGCAGTTGACTTGGCAGTTGGCTTGGCAGTTAGCTAGGTAGCAGGGAACTGCTGAGGCAACTGCTCAGATTTTGATCTGGCTTTCAGGAATTAAACGTACTTTTTGACAATGATATTTATGGCAGGCTGATCAAACAGAGATGGTCACAGGAAGTGACTTTTATGTGGGCAGAGGGCTCAACAGTTGGGTGGTCTCAGGGAACTGCTGAGGCACCTGCTATACTTAGAAAGTGAATTACTGGGAGATGATAGAGCAGACCTTTTAGAGATGGTGAGGTGCGTCTCAGGTGTGAAGATGGTCTCAAAGAAAGCAAGTGATTAAGCAGTAGGGTAAGCAGTTGGGTCAATTAAGACAACTGCTTAAGATTCTGCTGGCAAACTTCAATCCTTTTTGTGAGAAGTGCTAAGTGTGTGCTTTGTTTACTGAATGTAAATCAACACACAGTATATCCTGGTTCAGAGGTGGTGTAATCCTCCTACGTCCAGTCCCACCCTCTTTCAGATGGATTTCACTAAAGTATTAAGCCCAATACACTTAGTGCCAATCTAGCCTTTACAACACTTAGGCCTAGATTGAAGGTTTTTCACAGTGAGTATAGCACCACTCAAAGTTACTCAGTCCTTAGACTTTTCTCTAATGATCCAGTGGGGATCAAAAGATACTCTATCTATCTACTTACACTGTAGGATCCGAACAACTGTTCTCCTAAGTGTTTACAACAATATGTGATTAGTTTCAAGAAAGTTCTAACCTCCAACTAGGAACTAAACTTCTATAATATGGCAATGAAAATTTGATAAACTGGAAGTTTAGTGAAGCATAAGTCCAAGCAGAGAGTAAAGTTTTAGAATAGCACTTTATCTTTTGCTAGATCTTTCGTAAATGCTCTTGATAGAAATTCTCTCTTTGGATGCTTAAATGCTTGGTTAGAAACCTTCGTTTCAGCCTTTATTTATAGGCTTTTTGGCTGATCAATCTTTATCCGTTGGAGAGGATAAATTGATTTCTACCGTTGATCTTTTAGCGAGGACGAATTGTACATTCGTCTTTTTGTGCTGGAGCATTTATTGCGGCTGATCTCTTTGTCTTGCATTATTCAGCCGCTGAAGCATCTTCGTTGTAGACCCCTGTACTTGATTCGGTATTTAATACCGGTCAAGTTTTTGTCTCCAATCATATACATTCATTGTATATTTATTTACGAACTTGGTCTCAGTTTAGTGACGGTTTAATTTCTGTGGTCTAATAAGATATACCGGTAGGATATAAATATCCTATTAAGGTAAATAAAATTACCTTATTGCATTTTTACTTTTTCCGGTAACATTTTATTAGTCACAAAAATTGTACATTATTTTTGTCACATAATTCAAATAAAATTGAGACGCGTTAAGTATAGTGGCATCATCAAAATCTTTATCAAAATTGGGTACTAACAATTCCCCCCTTTTTGATGATGCCAAAACTATACAACACAAGGAACAAAAACTTTTTATTGATTTTTATTAAGTCTTTTGTACATTGTTCCAAAGTCAGAGTACAATAGTTTATAGTCAATTTCGGACTCCAATGTCTAGCTTACTCTTGCTTGTCTTCTTCTTGTTTCTTCTTGGCTTCTTCCTTGGCTTTGGCCTCTTCTGCTTTTCGTCTTCTGATTTCAGCTTCTTCCTTGAGACGTTGGTTCTTCTTTCTGGTTTCTGCTCCTTTCTTAGCTGCTTGCGATCTTTTTAACGAGGAGGAACCTGCTTGTGTTGAAGGAGTATTTTCTCCCTTTTTGGCAGCATCAGGGATGTAGCTCTCATCAAAGAGATCCTCAATGTCATCAGCCTTTCTCCTTACCGGATTGAGTCCATAGACTTGAATGGATAGAGCTTTGATGTGATTGTTGATGTCCAGAATGTCAGTTTTTACTTCATCCCTGACTTCATTTTCCAGGTTTTGAAGTCGTTGGTGAGTGATTTCCAAATTTTGTCCCAGCCGCAGAAGGTCACTTCCATGCTGTTGGAATTCCTTTTGAGTTGCTTGATGTAGGGAGCTGAGATTGGATGCCAAGTCTGCTCTAGTTTGTCCAATGGCATTTGAGTGCTCGAGTTGCTTTGTTACAACTGTGTGAGAGAGCTTGAGCATTGCTGGAAGCTCGTTTGTTCTTATGTTTTGGATGAATTCCTCATGTTCTTGAATGGTCTTAAAGGCCTGCTCAAGGTTAGGAGGTAGAGAAATGGTAGGAGGTACCTGGGCAGAGGGCTCTGCTGCTTGGGAGGCCACTGCGAGTTCTTTTTCCCTTAGCTCCTTCAATGAGTGAACAATATGATTTTCCAGCTCTTCATCGCGGGCTTTCAAGGCTTCAAGTTCGTTGCGAAGAGCCTCCATCTGTGCTGGTAGGTTTGAGAGTTGAATGTTGAGCTGAGCTTTCTGTTCTGAGTTGAATACTTGCTGTATCATCAAATTGCTTTTAAGATGGCAGTGTACTTCAGCGAACCTCATCTCTAGCAGCTCATCAAAATGCTTTTTCATTTTGATCAGTCTTTTGTGGAGGCGTACCTCAGCTCTGCTAATGAATTTTGTAGTTGCTCTTCTTTCATTGATGAAGACCTCTGCTAGTGTTGGTGTAACACCCCGGCCTTGCAGGACCCGAGATAGCTACTCTAGACCAATAGTACTGTCCTCACAAACCACCACGAGCCTTTACCGCGCACTTTGTCCTCACTCATGCGCGCCCTGAGAAACTTCCCAGGGGGTCACCCATCCCAAGACTACTCTCGTGCAAGCACGCTTAACTTTAGAGTTCTTGGGTGATGAGCTCCCTTAAAAGGAGATGCACCTCTGTTGGTATGAGTAGTACTATTAATCCATTTATATTAAATCTCAAGTGTTACAATCACCTCCACTTAGGATCGCAACGTCCTCGTTGCGCCCTTAAACCAATCTGAATCAAACCCCAGAATCTTTTCCCCTGCTAGGTGTCTGCCCGATATCCAACGGATCAACACACTGTCGCAAAAATACATTTAAATAATGATTTATTCAAAGGAATTATCAACTTTATTTGAAACGTCAGAGATACAGCGGAAGTCTTAATAGGGAAATGGGTGTTACCGCCACACTCGGTTCTCACATAACCGAATGCACAGGCTAAACCACCATCCAAAAATAATCCAAGTATTTAAGTACTGAAAATTTCAAAAATAATTTAAATGTCTACATGTTCTCAAACTGAAATAAACAATAACTAGGTGATTATAAATACTAAACTACGTGATCTAACGCAGCTCTCATCAACATGCATAACCTTCATCACCTGCACAATTAAAGTGCAGAAACAAAACAAGGAAAAGAAAACAAAAATTAGCTTTAGAGCTAAGTAAGTACTACCCAACCCCGTAAAATAATCATGTTTGACAAAAATAGATTTTTATATAATAATATATAAAAATACTCAAACCATCGAAATTCTTTTCACTTTGTTTTTTTTTATCAAGACTACTTCTTTACAAAAATCCTCAACTTCTCTATAAAACTTCATAATAACTCTCCTCTTATATTTCCTCAAAAATCACTTCTTCTCTAACTTCCTAGTAATTTAGAAGGGCGGTGCTCAACCTTTCGGTAGAGCCCGGTGGACCGTGGTTACGGACGGCCACCCCGAACAAGTGCCGGTACCACAACTGCTCTGTTGGAAACGGAACGACTACCTTAAGTGTGCACACCCCCTAAAAGGGATTCCAAGCCCCCCGAGTAGTAAGTCGTAACGAGTAGTCGGGACTCAGTCTACCAACTACCCCTGAATAAGATATTTTGAATGACTAGGGACTACTACTACCATAACTTCTTCTTAAAAGGGATCATCGATCCAAATATCACTTTAAACTCAAACTGTACTTCTTAGTAGTAGCAGACCTAATCACCCTCCACATGTATCCGGACGTGGAAAACCGACACCACGGATTTCTCCCGTGATGCTCACCTCTTATAAAAATGTAAATTTTATCTTCAATAAATAATACTTCAAAAATACTTCTCAATTTCTCTAAAAAGTCTTGAAGGTATTTAAAAATATTAAATACCCTAAAAGTACTTAATTTATATTTCTCAACTACCATATATATAATATCTCTTCAAAAATCACATACACAAAATTCAACAATTCACACTTATTCACATAATGCATAATAAGCATATAATACGAGGAAACAATTTTAGATTGGCAGAGAAACTTACCTCTAGTCCGGGTGCTCCTAATTCTCTTCTTCTACTCCGCTCTCTAAGTAATCACCTTTTTAATTAAGATGATATAATTAGTCACTTACTCTTTAATAATTATTTTACTTGATTTTTACCTTTGATTTTATTTTTTCGAATTCACTAATTCAATTATTTTATTATCCGCGCTAATCACTTCTTATTAATTAAATTACCTTATTAATTCCGTCGTTAATTAAAATACTTAAATTCTAAAACATACGAATATAATTAATTACAATATCAAATTTCTATTTTAATAATCATCTTTTTATTTACTCAACTCCTAAAGCATTTGATATGTCTTAATATTATATCCGAATTATTTTTAATCTAAATAATCAAATATCAAAATTAGTTTACATTAACATTATTAGCATTAATAAATCCGAATTAACTAACATATTCTAATTTTATTAATTACTTAAACACTTAATATTTTAAAGTCCGTAATTATGCAAATTTTATATTACTCTACCTTAATTAGTCCAATAATTAGTGAAAACAAAATCTACCAATTTATTTAATCTAATTATGATACGAAGTCCAAACAATTATTTTAATATAATATTCTTTAATGAATATTAAACTATAAATTCATTCCATCGATAATAAAAATTTTATTATTTAATTACTTAATTAGCTTCATATGGTCCAAATTAATAAAATAGCCAAGAGTCGACTTTATAAATTAATAACCGTCCATAACTACATTTTGGTTCTATATTTGGCTTAGGTTGTCCAAATATTTATTTTATAATTCATTTTCCTTAATTATTCATTTATTTTCGTATATCAAATAACCGGTCCATTTACAATTAAATATACTAATATTAATTTTTATTATTTATAAATGGTCCATAATGTCTTATTTAGTCTTATATTTATCCTAGTTTGCTCCAATATTTATTTCATAATTAATTTCGCCATTTACTTATTTATTTACTAATTGTGTACAAATTGGCCCAATTACCATTAAATCAATTAAAAATAGCTAAAAATATTATTTTTCAATTCTGGTTGGTCCGAACATGTATAATTACACCAGGTATTTAATTTATATTTTTCCAGATTTTATTTATTTCATTTACTATTTTATTTTTAATTTTTACTGCAACTGGGCCGAACTGGCCCAAATATAATTTTTTTCTGGCCCAAAGATCAGGCCCAAGACAGACCTCAGCCTTGGCTGGGTTGTCTTCTCCGGTGAATCGCCGGAAAAACGGGCAAGAAGGGGGGAAAGAACCTACCTCGACGGAAACGGCCAACGGGGTAGCGGTGCACTCCTCTCGGGACGGTTAAATCTCCTTGCTTGAAGTTGACAAACTCATCATAGTTTGCCTCTTTCACATGGTCTGGATAGAAACGGTCGCGTAGGGCTATCTTGAAGTCTTCCCAACAAAATTCCGGTTGCTCGAGCAGAGTTGTCCCGGTGGCAGCCCACCAATGATCCGCCTCTTGGTGCAAGTAGTACACCGCTATGTTTACCCGCTGCTCTAACGGGCAGTTGAGCGAATCAAAGAGCTTGTCGAAGGTTCGGATCCAGTCTTCTAGAATCAGATGATCCTCCTCCCCCAGGTATTTTGGGGGGTTCCTTCCGGCTACGCGCGCTGCATAGTCAACCCCTTGGTTATGGGTTTGAGCTGCTCCGATGTGTTGCGCCATCTGCTGAATAGTTTGAGCCAACTCCTCAACAGTTGGGGTCGCATGGGGGTTTCTTCTTGGCGGCATGTTTCTTAATAAAGAAAAGCCCGTACTAAGTATTAATGCATACATAAGGATTCTATACAAATTCTCTACTAACTTCAGATTCTTAGAACAAATAGTACACATAGTGTATCAAATATTTTACATACTTCACAGAGGCATGAATCCCATGCATTTCATAACTCAATAACTTCGCAAGGTTTCTCCCTCTCACCGCGTTCCTAAAAGGCCTCTTTCCTAGTATATTCATTCTCCTAATTTTAGGAAAACATTTTTGAAAATCCCGCATCAAACCCATAGTTTTCGTCAAAGATTTCGAACAACGGAGTTTCAGCACAAGGAGAAATTCCCAGTTGGTTGGACGAGCGCAAAGACTCAATTATGCACCAACCAGCTTAGACTGTTATCGTCTTTGTGACAGAATTTCTCCCTACGACCTATTACCTCGTGTTCTAGTCCTTTCGGGAAAACCAAAGGCTCTGATACCATTTGTAACACCCCGGCCTTGCAGGACCCGAGGTAGCTACTCTAGACCAATAGTACTGTCCTCACAAACCACCACGAGCCTTTACCGCGCACTTTGTCCTCACTCATGCACGCCCTGAGAAACTTCCCAGGGGGTCACCCATCCCAAGACTACTCTCGTGCAAGCATGCTTAACTTTAGAGTTCTTGGGTGATGAGCTCCCTTAAAAGGAGATGCACCTCTGTTGGTATGAGTAGTACTATTAATCCATTTATATTAAATCTCAAGTGTTACCGTTGGAGTGTCTTCTTCTTCATCCTCATGCTGAATTTGGTTCCTGATTTCATTTGATGTTGTCGGCTGCTCAGGAGTTGTTTCTTGGTGGGGTTCCAAGTTGAGATCTATCATAGCAGTCCCCTGCTGGATAGTAGCAACCAACAGTTTCTGGGGTGCCTTAGAGGATTCCCCACCTCCTTTAGTCTCCAACCTTGATTTCTGAAGAGTCTGTATGAATTGTTTATCACTAGAGGAGGAGGAGTGAACGATTTGCTTACCTCCTGATCTTGGCAGTCCCTTCGATGCGTTGTCAGCATGATCATCATCATCATCATCATCATCATCATCATCATCATCATCACTGCCATCTTCTATTTGGGTTTTGGCAGTGAGATTCTTCTTCTTTAGCGCGTAGACTTGATTGATCTTCAGCATCTTGGTTGCATCTGCCATGTCTTCAGTGCCTAGCCAATCCACCACAAAGTCTTCTTCTTCTTCAAAGTGTGGCAAGTTTTCAACTTGAATGCGGCTCCTGGATAGTTTCCATGATCTCCAGGCCTTTACTCTTGTAAATTCAGCGTCCAATCGTTGTAGAGGTGTGATTTTGGGTGACTCTACTGCGTGTGATGGAGGGACCTGCTCGTTGAGAGGAGCTACCTGCGCAGCTTCTTGAAAGGGCAGCTTGGATGAGTCCCCAGCTGGTAATGAAGCACCCAACTGCTCTAGCAAGAGAGCCACCTGCTCTTCTTGCTGTATTATCTGCTCTGTATCTTGGGGAGTCACCTGCTCTCTTTGTTGATTCATTCGTGGAATGAGTACAGATAAGGGTAGTTTAGAGCTATTACTTGCATTTGATGAGCTTGGTGAGTTCTCTGTTGTATCCTTGATGGCTAGGGGAGAGGAGGCAACTGCTTCTTCTTCTTGAATGATGACAAGAGGAGAAGCCATTCCAGGGGAGGCCACTGCGTCTTCTTCTTGAATGGGTGTCAGATAAGAAGCCGCTTCTTCCATTTCGGCCTGTAGATTTCTTGTTGCTGTTCTTTGTTTCTTTGATTTGTTTTCTTGGCATCCTGATCTGATTCTCTTGGCAGTTTTTGTTTTGATCCTGTCAAGGGTGATTTGAAG